TTCCCCAGATTCACCTGTGGTGACAATTGCATCATTTGCACCCCAGCTTTCTGTGATCACATCGAAACAGCGACCTCGTAAGTTGACAATTCTTGGGAGTGATGGAGAAGAGTATACTTTCTTGCTGAAGGGGCATGAAGATTTACGACAAGATGAACGTGTCATGCAGGTTATATTTCATATCTAACTGTGCCCTTGTTCTGTGTGGATGATGGTGCAGTTCTGTTATAACATTATTCATAAAATGCTTGTCCACTCTTGGATCAAAGCCTTCAAAAAGAATTCATATTCTTTCTCATCATTTATCAACTATTTTAATGAGGTCTGAAGTTATATTCTTTGCCAGCTGTTCGGTTTGGTTAATACTCTGCTGGGGAACTCTAGGGAAACTTCAGAAAAAGATCTCTCTATTCAAAGATATGCTGTCATTCCACTATCTCCGAACAGTGGGCTGATAGAATGGGTTCCAAATTGTGACACCTTGCACTATCTCATAAGAGAGTATAGGGATGCCAGAAAGGTTTGTTTGAATCCTTCCCATCCAGGGAGATTGTCTGTTTTTAAGAGGCAGATACATATCCTGACTATGACTGCTTGTTTCTGTTATTGTAGATCACCCCAAACCAAGAGCATAAGCTAATGCTTAGTTTTGCTCCGGATTTTGATCATTTGCCTCTTATAGCGAAGATGGAGGTGTTTGAGTATGCTCTACAAAATACAGAAGGCAATGACCTGTCAAGGGTAGGCATTATTTGATGCATGTATATATGTGTGCATTAATAATTTACTGGCTTTTATGAGAAGGCTTTGTGAACTCCTAACAGGTTCTCTGGTTAAAGAGTCGCACTTCAGAGGTCTGGCTGGACAGGAGGACAAACTACACAAGAAGTTTGGCTGTCATGAGTATGGTAATGTTTCTTCTTACATTTGGTTCAATCTCTGAAATTTTTCGTTATAATTTTCATTTTTTACACGGGCAGATGAAGTGGGGGAGAAAACAAGAATGTCATTGCACTAAATACGCTTCCCTAATCTAAAATGTATTCCTTTCCGTTAAGTGTGCCAGTTTTTTGCTGTCAATAGTATTTTGCTCATGCAATAAGCTTATGTGTCTGGTACTGGCGTGCTGTTATTAGGGAGATCTCAGTTAACAAGACTGTTATGATGTTGGCACTTAAAAGAGTTTCTTCAATATGAAAATGCATAAAATTACAAAAAAAATATTGCCTTAAATAAATGGTTAATCATTTTTTTTTT